TTTTTCAAAATTACTTTAAAAATAGATTGAAATTCTGAGGAGGTATCCTGTGAAATATATTAGGTTCAGGTTGCAACTTTAGTGAGTCTTCAAATATTGATGTGGACTTGTGTAGAAAAATAATAGGGTAGAAATTTGCATAATATCTAACAAGAATATTGGAGTGTTATCTTTTTAATGTACTTTAGATTAGTTTTAAAACTAATGAAAAATAAAACACCAAAGGCTTTGAATAGCAATCTGTTAACAGATTTTTGTTACAAATTCTAATTAACTGCATAATTATGTCCAAAATGCATCTCTCCAAAATCAAGACTTATTTATTAAATATAAATATCCTAGGATTGTTCTTAAAATACATTTTGGGCTTTTTTTTTTCTATTCTGTTTTTTCAATGGGGAAGGAACTCACTGTAACAAGCAAATCAGAAACACAAGATAATTGATCATCAAAAGAAAAAACTATGCAAATACAGACCTATCAAATTCAGACTACAACAAAGTATAAGTGTTATGAAGAGTTAAAGAAAAGAAAAAGATTATACAAGAAAAAATAAAACAAAAATCCCTGATGATATATACCGAATAATCATGTTATACTGATCACTTAAATTGTTAACCAAAAAGGGGGAGCGGGCAAGCCAGTATCACCCAAAATTTTGGTTTCATATAAGTCCGGGGTTTGTTTTTTTCCCTGATCCTTGGGTTTTCGCTACAAAAAGCATTCTAGCTTCAACAAAATATGAGCCGTTAGGAAAGAAACTGCATTGTATTAATTGTTAGTGGAATTACAGATAGATATGTTTAGCTCATTCAATTTTAAGTAGGGTTTATTTTATCAAACTTAAGTCAGAACCCCAATTGTGATACTATAATGTACTTTTTGTCCCTAAAGCAGATCAGTACTGTTTCCATGAAAATACTGCTTTAAAATGTTGAGCCACTTCACTGCCACAAACCTCATTTTGGTAGCCCAACTCTAGCTAATATTTAGCACTTAATACAAAATTTGTTACTAAAAGTAAATAAAAATCAACATAAGATTATAAGAATTCTTATATATGTTCTTTGATCACCAATTTATATAAGCTAAATCAAGCTAGCAAAAAAAAAATCTGTTCCTCTAGGCTATGTCTAGACTGCAAGCCTCTTTCGAAAGAGAGCGTCTAGACTGCACGTTGAACTTTCGAAAAAGCGGCTTCCTTTTTCGAAAGAAAGCATCCAGTGAGTCTGGATGCTCTCTTTCGAAGAAGCCTATTTACATTGAAGAACGCCTTCTTTCGAAAGAGGAACTTTCGAAAGAAGGCGTTCTTCCTCGTGAAATGAGGTTTACCGCCATCGAAAGAAAAGCCGCGTTCTTTCGATTTAATTTCGAAAGAACGCGGCTGCAGTCTAGACGCAGGTGAGGGTTTTTCGAAAAAAGGCTACTTTTTTCGAAAAAAACCCTGAGTCTGGACACAGCCCTGGAGCCCTCATGTACCTGTGGTCTCTCTCAAAGCTCAAGCTCTCTCCATGCTAGTCACTAGCTATACAAAGCAGCGAGAGTTGGTGAAACAGCCCAGGAAGATGTGTCTGTAAGTACTTAGACTTCAGTCATCCCTATGTATCCTTTGCATCAAGGATCAATATTCCTATCCTCCACCTTTTTTGTGTCAAATCAAATACAGAATCAGCTCTTGGATGAGGAGCAGCTACCCAAAACTTAGCCCAGGCAAGATATGAGATGCTTGCAGGAGGAAAGGAAGCACCTCAAAGAACTGTCTATCTCTAACACATCTAGCAGTTGAGGGAACCTGCCTTTAGATTGTGACTCATAGTATTGAACTCATTTGGACTTGATGTTGTTGGATTCCTGAATAGCCTTGGCAGCAAAAATACCCAGTTCAGTATGCAACTGGTTAGAAAATAAGGCCTCAACCTCCTGCCCTCCAGGCTTCATTATTGCAACTCACTCTGCCTAGGAATTAAGCATATGAATGATGTCTGGAAAAAAACTCCCAATTATTTTATGTAATATATTCACACACACAGATTGGTTCATCTGCAACACAGATTGTTGTGAACACAACTACGCTAGTGCTCTACTCCTTGCACTGGTTCTGCAGTGAATAGAATCCCGTTCAAGGACTGTATCTTAATATTCACAAAGTGCTCCATTGAATTGAACCAAGCCACTTGAGAGATTTGTGCGCTCTCGCGCTCTCTCTCTCTCTCTCGCGTTATTTCGAAATTAGCATTATTCCCCGAGGAAAGCAGGCATATAGATTACGAAATAAGCAGCCTGTTGTTTTGAAATAATGGGCTTGGTTGTGTGGATTATCCATGAGAAATATTTGGGGATAGTGGATAATCAGCTAAACATTAGCTCCCACTGGAACACTGAGGCCAAAAGGGGTAATGTGATCCTGCGATCCATAAACAGAGGAATCTCAAGTAGGAATTATTGTATCCATATTTGGCACTTGTTGTGACCACTCTTAGAATATTTATCCAGTTCTGATACTCACAATTCAGAAAAGATGTTGATAAATTAGAGAGGGTTTAAAAAAGAGCCACGAGAATTATTGAACAGTTAGAGTAAAGTAGTTCAGTCTAGTTAGCTTACTAAAAGAGAATGTTTAGCGTTAACTTGAGAATAGTCTATAGGTATCTACATGTGGAACAAATATTTAAAAATGGGCTTTTCAATCTAGCAGAGAGATATAACATTCCAAAGGTTGGAAGTTGAAGGTGGACAATTTCAGACTAGAAATAAGGTGTACATTTTTAATAATTAACTGTTGAAACATTACCAAAAATCATGGCGGAATTTCCATCACTGACAATTTTTAAAACAAGATTGGATGTTTTTTCTAAATGGTATGCTTTATTATTTCTTCTGACATCGTTCTGACTTCCTTTCCTTGTGTGTTTCTTTATCTCATTTCCATTATTTCTGCCTCCTTTCCATTCCACTGTCTGTCATGTTTTTATAATAGTGACAGGCCATAGTTTCAAAAGAAATTGGTACTGTAAGCTTGCATGTAAGAGATTTTTTTCTGCATAAACTCCTTGGTGCCAGCTGCTTGGTGAAACTCATCTCTGTGATCTTGTAAGATTCATTTGCAAACTGCAGCAGATTGTGCACTGTGTAAGGGTGTGTCTGCCTTTAGTTTCTACTTGATCTGCCTGCTTCTGCCTGTTGTGGAAAAGTCTTCCTATCATCAGCAAAGGAAAAAGAGATTATTCACTGCCACAGCCAAAGTGGGTCTCAAGCAGGCTACTGATTTCTCCTATCTTAATGTGATAGTGCTAAAACAAATTGCTAGTGAATAAAGTCCCAGATGTGTAAGTCATCTGGTTTTTCATCTCCATTACCCAGCATATTTCCTAATGCAAGCCTGATGTACTGAAAGGACAGAGACTAACAAATTCTGTCATTCAAGCCCTTCAGTTTTCATGTTGCAATACTACAAGTAAAAAACAAATAATTTCCCTTCTCAATTTTGCTTCAAAAACAAATTTTGCAAAGTTACCTTTGGACAGAGCTACACAGTCACACTTCACCTTCATGTAGGATTCCTACATGGTCAGCACTACTTCTGTGCAGTCATTTTTTTTACTGCAGAGTTCCATTTATCACATCATTCTAAAATATCTCAGTGGATCTTTGTACCCTCTGCAGACAAACTCCTTTTTTGTTTGTCTCATGCTATTACAGTTGTTGTTGTTGTTTGTTTGAAAGTAAGGGGCACACATGTTGTTAAAGTTTTAAACTAGCAGTCAGATATCTCCAAATTTAAAACCTAGGTTTGCAACTGAAGAAGGAAGCTTTTGTGTGTGTTGAATTTGACAGGTCTTCTCATACATTCACTACTGGTACTAATCACAATGACAAAATTACAAGTTTTTCTTTCATTTAGTAGCTGATATTGTTAATGTTTGCAAGAGAGTAAATGTTACAGTAGAAAACCTTATAATAAGGTTCTTGGACCTGTGTGTGACATTACAGAATATGATACTGCCATCATTCCTTTTATTCAGATTTTTTTATTGGTTTTAATAAGTAGACTTCAAAAGACATAGGTTTATATATCTCCAGATTTTCTGAATTGACTGTGCCCAATTCAATACTTTGTAGAAAGTTTTTAAAAATGTAGATTGCAAAGTGATGTGTGAGCTAAGAATATGAAATGAATGGCCTGACAAATAAGACATCCAATTTGTTAATCTTCACTTTGCATTGTAATCAGCTATTTTTGCAGCACTGAATACTTTTTTTAATTTTATACTTGTCATTATATCCAGTAATTTTGGTCATTTATTCAAATAGTAACACCAAATATCTGAATGTTAGATTGTACAGCAGAATGAGTTTCGAGAAAAAATTAATTATATGTTTTATTCCACTGCTATTTCATTCTGCTTGCCCTAAAAGTACAAAGTATACATTAAAATCTTCTATCCTATTGAGTAGCATTTTTGGATTTTTCAAATTTAGCTATGAACATGGGTCAGCTAGTGTCAAGACTGAAAGAACGCAGACTGCAAATTAGTACAGATGAAGGAGTTACGCAGTACATAATGCTAAAACAGGTGGTTTGGAAAAAGAACAAATGTTTAATAGCTTAAAAGATTGCTGTTCTGCATCTCCAACTAGTGTATCATGTTTACCAAGCTAAAGAAATAAATTGCTGTCAACTTAGATCTAAGTTTATTTTTACAGCCTAAAATTTCTTACTTTCAATCTTTAAATCCTTGGTAAGGGATTACTTTATTGATGTATTACTTTATTGATATATTAAATTCTTCTTAAGTTTAAACAATCAAAAAACATGAATACCATAAATAATGGTGTCTTTATATATACACTGTAATTTTAATGCCTTTGTATTGTATTTATCTCTGAGGAGTTGGTTGCTATCTGTTGCAAAGAGTGTCTTTTGTGCATTGTCACCAAACAGGTTACAATCCAAGCACTGTAGGGTTTATTATTCTAAAATACTGTGTTTTTGTTTACAGGACCGTGAACTTCGACATAATAAAGTACTTGTACGATTTCTTGTGAAAACAAGCCTCTCAGCCATATGGACACTGTGACAATAACTAAAGCAAGCTGTGTTCCTCTATCTACTTAGCTGGCCAGGGAGAAGAGTATTTTGGCTCTACTGGATTTGTCCAAACAGGTGTTGGCCCAGCATGCAATCTGATGAAAATATTCTGATTGGTCTGGGTAGATCTGAGCAGAGGACTATTTACCAGGGACCCTGGAGTATTTGGAAGCAATGTGTTAATTATAAACAGCAGGGTTTGAGCACAATCTGTTCTACTCTTAATGATGTTATCTTAACACTGAAATTGCCTGAAACCCATTTACTTAGGAAGGCATTTTGCTCTCTGAACTATCCCCTGTGCTTTGAACATGGCAGCAGCCCTTGTTTGTATGCCCAGTCTTTTCACTTCTTCTCCACAGGAATCTTTGCAATTGCTTGCCAAAGCAGCTTTTCCTAAAGCCACCATTTTAAGAGAGTGGAGCAGCAAAATATAATAAACATAAATGTATGTTTAAAATCAACCTTGTGTATGCTTATCTGCAAACCATATATAGATTAGATGTTCAACTCACAAGTATAGAGATTATTATAGGAAAACCCCAAATTTCTCAGCACAGAGTTTATCTTGAGAGCCACTTATAAATGTTACCCTTAAAAACCTTATCTTTATCGAGGTTGTAGAAAAATCAAATTTTAAAATGTATGAGTGCTAAAGCTATCATTTCCATGCTAGGTGCCAATACTTGGCAGGGCTTTTCCCCTTCACCAGATTTCAAGGAGCTTTTTATTTAAATATTCCTGCCATTCTTTTGAATTCAGAGTTTTCTTGAGTGCAAATTCTTGTGTAATTCTCAGTGGAAATATTTTAGAGTGCAGAGTGTCATAGAAGCAAAGCAATCTAGTTGAAGTGTATATGCTGTATTGTGGTGCAGCAAGCTTCTTCTGCCGCAATGTGTATGCAAGCTAAAGTTTCATCAAGTAAAATGATGTATCTGTTACACACTGTTTTTACCAGAGAAACCACTGTAGTCTGAAGCAAAAAGTTGCACATAATTTACAATACCATAAAGCATTTGTCACGCCTCCTGAAAAACTTCAATACTTAATTTTCAAAACATCCACATTTTCAGTACTTCAAAAATGTGAATATTTTTGTTAACAAATATGGTGTAAGATAAGATAATCGTTGTTTGTAATAAACTCTAAATTCTCTTCACTTTTCAGAGTCAAATGCTAGGCTGACAACAGCTAAGTGGCTTAAATAGCACTAAGATCTTAAGCAATTATGTGCAATAGGGGATTTTGAGAGTTCCAGTATCAATTCCTGGAAGTGAAAGCAGGGGACACTAGGAAATTTTAGGCGGCTGAACACAAACTGGACCACGTGCTGTGTAATACATACCAACAAGAGCACATCACAGCTCTGCAAGTTATATTGGCTTTCAGATAAGCGTTAAGGTCCTAATATAAATCTGCAGAGTCCTGCAAGGACTGAGCCCTGACACTTTTCCACAATTTATCACATCAGGAACCCTACCATAAGCAATGCCCAGTAAGCAATTCTCAAAGACGAAGGGTAAGGTTTTGTTGGTGGGAGATCAAACCTGTGAAATCCTCTTTTACCAGAAATCAAGATGACTCTAAATCCTTAGAATTTTCAAAATAAAATTTAAGGAGCATTTAAAATAAAACTTTTGCAAAATAGAAATGTGTTCCAGTCATGGCTGCATGATTATTCCTGTTATTGCTAGTCAAAAGCAAACTCAACAGAAGACCAAGGGATGGTGGAAAGCAAAGTCCTCTAGACCATATACTGCTCTACATAATTTTGCTGATGCATAGATACTATGGTGATTGGTGAAAACATAGACATCTGAAATGTGAATCTGGCCTCCTAGGCAATGTCTACCCTGCAGCACTATTTCAGGATATGCTATTCTGCATCTTTTGAGCATACCCATTATTTCGAAATATAATGGTCTTGCTATTCCAACTTCCCTATAAACCTCATTCCACGAGGAGCAAGGGATGTTGCAGAATAGTGATTTATTTCAAAATAAGTGCTGTGTAGACAGTGCCAAATTTTGAAATAAGCTATTTTGAAATTGACTCAAAATAAACTACGCAATTTGCATAGCTCAAATTGTGTATCTTATTTCGAGATATGGGTGTAGTGTAGCTGCACCCTTATAAAAGAGTGCAACTGGGTTTTTTTTGCCAAGATGCTCAACATACAGATTATTTACAGAACCTCCTCAGATTGTTATATGATAAAAAATGCATCTAATGCCAACCTCACACTGTAATATATTGGGCAAATGATAGATCAACTTTGGAAGTATATGTAGGGGCTGGGTATACCTTTTAAACCATCCTGAGAGAGTGGCACAAACAAAAATCCAACTCTCCCTTCCTCTCCCATGTGTCATGTGGCAGAATTGTGGGCTATCACCCTCTGTAAGCTAGCCCCAAAACTTTTAATAAAATTAATTCACCAAACAATATTAATAATGAAAGATCGTTAGTAACTCTGAAATGTTCATAATTCTGAACAAAATGTTGTTTTTCAAACCTTTAAAATAGAACAATGACGTAATACAGCCTTGAATACTAAGAAAAATGCTTCATTTCATTTACATTTTTTGTAATTTATATTTAACACATGCTATACGGTTTGGTATTTGTTGTGGTGGGTTTTTTGTGTCTGCTGCTGCCTGATTATACTTCTGTTTCCAAATGAAGTATGTGGTTGATTGATCAGTTCATAACTCTGAGATTGTACTATTGTTCCAGTCTGCTGGGCGTTCTTGGATCTTTGGTTTCCTTTAACATTGGCAAAGGTATGTAAATATATTGATCTTTCTATTGTGATGGTAAATTGAGCCAAGTCCAATATTTTCTTGTCACGTGGTTGCATTAATTTCAAATTGCACAACTGTTCAAGTTCAGAGTCATTGGGGTTTACCTGCAACTGCTATTATTAATTAAGTTTCTTATGGTAATGCCTAAAGTCATGAGGCCTCCATTGTGCTAGGCACTGTATGTACACAAAGTAGGCAGTCCCTGCCCCCAAAGAGCATACAGTCTTAAGTGGACAAGACAGAGAGTAGGGGGAAGAGAGAGAACACACTAGCAGAGTGGACAACATGATGAGAGCAAATGTAATATTAGTTCCTTGACTTTTTATCTTATATTTCATAACATTCTTTTTAGAATTACACTAATACTGAACTTAAAAATTAATGACATTTTGGAACTCAAAACATGTTGCTGAAAAAATGACTGTATTATTATAGAACTGATTTTTTTTCCAGTGTTCCCATAAGTGTTTTAGAAAAGTTCTTAGAAACTACAAGCAGATCAGGAACTTCATTGGGATAGGTCCTACAGGGTGCACCCTTACCTCGAAATAAGCTACGCAGTTTCCGCTATGCAAATTGCATAGCTTATTTCAAGGTAATTTAAAAATAGCTCATTTTGAAATATGGCATAAGCACCAGTTTTCAAAATAAAGTGCTATTCTGACATGTCCCTTAACTCTCGTGAAATGAGGGTTGCAGGGATACTGGAATAGCATGCCCATTATTTCGAAATAACGGATGTGTTTAAGGACACAGGATTGCTATTTCGGGATATTTCCAGTATCCCAAAATAGCACTGCTGTCTAGACATAGTCATACAGAACAAGACCTCCAGTTTACTACCCCAAAGAGCTTATTGTTTAACATTGCAAAATTGTAGGTCCTTCTTCCATCATTTTAACTCTTTCCAACTATACTTTTGCTAAACATTTCAGCAGAAATCTAGAAGAAATAATTCAGCCTGAAATTTTGAATAAATGATACAGTTCATAGTCCATATTTGGCAAATGTCTTTGTAGATATGAGTCAGGGTCAAAAATCTTGACAAATGGCCTGTTATGTGCAGATCCAACCATAGGACTAAATGGAAGTATTATTGTGATTAGCAACTGGAAAAATGCACATGCATTTGCACTAAGGAATACGTATATCAAGGGACAATTTAAATCTCAAGTACAATGCTAAATAGAACATTCATTCTCTGGTGTCTCTCTTCAATATTTCCATTATTGCCGTACATCTCAAGCTACTAAGGATCAAATGTGGGACATAATGTGGGACATAATGTATTACAGAGATCCAAAATGAAGGACACACATTAATTAATGCAGGAAACTTAACATTCTGTGGGATTCCTTTTTTTAGTGTAAATAACTAGAACATCAGTTTCATGACTATTAGATGTAAATAACTGTTAACCATAAAAGAGGGAAAAAATAAAATTTGTGTGGGATGTAGGTAATTTTGGGACTAAAATGAGTGATGTCCCTCTAAATGAGGTACATTTGAGAGAGATGCAATCATCATCATCTGTGATAAGGACCTTTCAGACAAAACAACTATAATTAAAAATGGATTCCTCTCTGTGCCCTATTAAAAGACACCTGTTGGTGATATAAAACTTACTGCTGAATCAGCAGACTAAAAGAATAGGCCAGGTGTTTGAAGTGTGGAGAATTGATTTAGACTGACTACAGTGATGATGAATAGCAGGATTTGTTCTGTTCAGCTAGAAATATTTATATACATCTGCATCTGTAAATTTATTGCAATGTACATAAAACTGTATAACAAAGTAACTTTCACATTCCATGGTGAGATTTCACTTTTTTATATTATGGATTAAATCCTGTCCCCAGTGAATTCAACAGCAAAACTCCCATTGACTCCAGTGAAGCCAAGCTTTCACCTCATGTTGATGCATATTGTGTGGTCTTTAGAATTGTGGAAAGAAGATAAAGCAAGGTAACTGTTGTCCCAACAAGAAATCCCTGAGTATTTTTGCACAACCAGAGTGTAAACAAATTTAGGACAAATCAGAAAATATTTTCATATTTTGTCATCAAAAAGAGAATTTACAAGGCTTGGGAAATCCTAAACACTTCCTAATTCTAGCTTGAAATAGTCTGATTCTTCTGGAAAACTTTGTGCCCCAAACTTCCACCAATTCTAATTTTCAGTCTACTCGGTAACAACAGATATAAATTCCCTAATGTGCAGCATAAGTAGCTATTGGCCTCCCTTTCTTGGTGTTTGTGTGTTTTGTTTTGTTTTTGTTTTATTATAAATTAATTGCATCTAAAGAGTTGTCATGGGATGGACTCTCCCTTTGGATTTATATTGGCAGAGAGAAGCTAAAGATGACAGTGCTGCCCAAGGCTATGGGGGCTGGGATGAGGAGCAGCAGGTTCTGCGAGACAACAGTCAGGTGTGGGGGCATAGCTTGATTGCCACATATTGCTGTCCATCCACAGTTTCTGGGCAGGAATCCATCCAGGAGTAAATATTATTCCAGGTAGCATTGCTTTCCCCGTAAGGCTACATCTATACTGCAGACTCTGGTATCCCGAAATAGCTATCCCACGTCTTAACAGCAAGCCTGTTATTTCAAAATATAATGGGCTTGCTATTCCAACATCCCATGAGGAGTAAGAGGCGTTTTGGAATAGCAGATTATTTTGAAATTTGGCACTATGTAGATAATGAAATAAGCTATTTCAAAATTGACTCAAAATAAGATAAACGGCTCATATTACGAAGTTTATTTCAAACTGTGCATGCAGTGTAGACATACCCTAAGGTTTCTATTGCAAAATAGCAAATCATGAAAAAGGTCCTCGTCCTTGGATATATCCAGTTGGGCTAATGATTTGTCTCAATTAGCAAGTTCAATTAAATGTAATGATAAACTTTGTGTTCCAGATGTTGGATTGGCTCTGCTTGAATGTTGGATGAGGAATACTTAATAGGAGGAAAAAAAGCATGTTTTTTTTGTTTTCCATCATAACATACCCATTGTCTTCAGTCAATCCAGATAAATTGTATGCAATACAGCTGTTAAAACTATATACAGTGAGTCTGGTTTTATTTCTTGCTTTCATTATATTGTGTTTAATTTGTCAGAACAATTAAAGAAAATTAGATATGAAGACATCTACAGATGTTTTCTATGTTCCAGCTTCCCTGAAACCACATATATGGAATCCTTTCTATGCACACAGTTTGAGAATGTTTGAAATAAATTACATTGGAGGGAGTTTAAAAAAAAAGTCAGTTGAAATGCATTATTTGAACTTTTTGAAATCCACTTTGTTCCTTGTAAGTAATATAATTTGTGACACTAGCAGTATATATAGTGCTGGTTTAACAGCCCTACTTTCTAAGGATTTAAATAATATCAAAAGGATATTATATATCATTAAAGCAAAATAGAAACTAGTCTAATAGGTGGCTATAGATAAGGAATGCCAACCTTTTAGTATTTTTCACCAGGTATATTTTCAGAACATAATGTACCAAGCACCTCACCTGGATCTAGCTTTTGAGTTTATTCTGAGGTAAGCTATATACCTTCCATCCAAGCCACTGTTGGTGAACAATACACCCATCTTTTACAGAGCTATCTAGATAAAAGAAATGGGCTACTTTAGGGTTGAGCAAAACCAAAAATGGATAGCACCAAAAGGTGGAGGATAGAAGGGGTATTTAATTCTCTGTCTTTTTACTTTTTTATTTTTAGTACTGAAAAAATAGGGAGAAGAGATTCAGCACACAGGTGTTGCATTTAAACAAGCATTTAGCACTTTCATATGGTACCAGTGATACTTGAAAACAATAAGGAACTTCTGCCATATAACTCCTGTAAAAAAATAGCTCAGGTTCTTCTTTGAGTGATGTCCCTAAGGGTGCTCCACTGTTGGGGTATAGCTGAGGGAGCTTTATTGCATTCCAGCTAGCTATAAAAATGATCAATTTCTTCAGAGAAAAAAACAGCAGAAAAATATTGTTACTTATCAGAAGTCCTTTCATGAAACCATTAACACAATAAGATCCTGCCTACAGGGCAATTTAGGCCAACACCTCAACTCCCCTACACAAACTGAATAATCAGTGTAAGCAAGCAGTTAATTTAATCATAGA